CTGGAAAGTTGGCTGCCTATTGAGTTTTTCACAAATTTGTCAGTGAATTATAAGAAACTCCCACTAATTGATTAGGCTCATTTGCCTGACTCTTTATTTATATGTTAGTACCCCCGACCCTTGGCCCTTGGAATAAAATTTGGAATATTGTCTCCTTTATTCTAATAGCGTTTTCATATCAGGGAGCGTGAGTGCGGGAATTAATTTTAAAGATTAGGAGGCTTATATTTCAAGCCAGAATTCCTGAAAATGGCAAACACAAGCAAATTAGAAGATTTTTGAATAGCTTATGTTGGTTTTTGGGCCCCTTCTGAATCCATCGCTTAAGGTTCAGCCCTGACCTAGGGACCATAGCCTATGTCCCGACCTCTGAAATCAGGCATTTCAAATGAGCAGCGGTGTAAAATGCTCTGAAACATTTAATCTGTCCATGGTCAACCCTTTTTTCGCTTTTACAGGATGATATCGGGCTTGGAGCTGTTGTCGGATCGGCTGATTACAATGTCATGTTCGTCATCAGTATTTGCGCCCTCTTCAGTAAAGAGGTAATCACTTTTCCATTTTGAGTTAGTCGCATATCTAGTCAAAACTTGACGTTTTTTAAATAGTTCCCTTTTCATATCCTGATTTCGTCCTTTTCCGTGGAACAAAAGCTCACATTTCTACCTTTTCCAAAATTTTTTTGAGAATGTCTTTTCGTAAGAGGTTGGTTAATAACAGGGCAACAGTAGTTTAAGAAGTGCACCTCATATACCCCTAGACCCAGCATTTTGTTCTATATAAACGGTGTTTATAGGGTTTTTTGGGTGGGGAATTAGGACAGGCAGTAGAATTTACTTTTATAACCACTATATGGATTTTTATTTTATTGTTGTTGATTTATATCAGTAGATTTTGCTAATCTGTATTATCGTTTAACATATTGCGGAAAATCCGATTGTCAAAATGCAGTTTTCTTAAAATTCCTGAAAAATAGGAATGGTGGGTAGGAAGTCGTCTATTTCAACTTACTTGAGGTCTAACTTACCGTTCTGGAGTTGGATTAGTATAGTCCGCGGCGCGAAGTGCCGCGCACATCTTTAATTTACATGCGGAACAACTTATTCCCAGCGGCCGCGGGAAGCAAATTCATCTACAGTTTTCCCTTTTCCACTTGCTTCTACAAATTTACTTCAGTGCCTATCCTACCCCTATTACCACCGTTTCCGTAGGACAAAATGCTGGGACTAGGAATATATGAGGTGCACTACTTAAACTATTTTTGCCAATAACAATTTTTCCAGTGGTCGCATTTTTGCATTCAATTTTAACTGATATCAAAGGTCCGAATGCACGTCAGGAGACTGTCTGACCGACGGCTCATCAGTAGCATTGAACGAAATCTCCGCCACTTTTTTGCCTCACAGACTTGTCTTCAGAGCATGCAGTGTACTCCTGCAATGCCGTAGTTTCTTGTTAGTCCCGAGAATTCCTAGCATATCTTTCTAAACATGTATAAATCGGGTAACGAACAAACGCCACCTCTAGTGCCTCAATGTAGAAAAAGAGAGCAGACTTGCACTTTGTCGTAAAAAAAAAGTTTTGGGGCTATACACGTATCCTATAATTGTTAATGGGATTACGCACAAGTGGCAGACAAAGGAAGGATTAACTGTCAAATAAATAGGATCTGGAGTTTGGATTTCTTGGAATATGCACAAAGTGCGACAAGCCATAGACGCATTGCCACTTGGTGAATTTCGTCCATCACGAAATAAGGTTTTGCCTCTACCTAGCACGCACCTGAAACCTTGAACTATTGAAGTAAAGGCCGGCGACTACAGACGTACCCCTTGTTATCCCGGCCACGCGCCAGCCTCTGCATAATCAGGCTTTTGGACGACATGATGACTGTGGCTGAATTTGCGTGAGAACAATGGCCTCGCGAGGAGAAATTTATTACCTAACAAGAACAAAAACACCTGCGTAGATAGCGCAGGATTGGCTGCAACCTTCATGCAGCAATCAGAAATAATAAGTCACTACAGAACCCAGAGGAATCTCATGTCATCCCCGTGTAACTGATTGAAGCATATTCCCTATATAACAGCCTGCACAATGGAGCCAAGTTCGTTGTCGAAGTGCTGGGAACCTGTCGACAATGGCTTCTTAGCAGCGTCTCAAAGTTACTTCAATATCCTCTTTTGCCTTTAGCGGAAACAACCTCGCTCAGATATCGTGTATTTGCCTGTCATGTTAGCTGCTGGTTTTGTTAGCGTAGGTTAAGAGTATTGGAACTCATCCTATTTTGCTAATATTTTATTTACGGCAGCAAATGGAACCACGATGTTTGGCGTCGCTCTTGTTTTGTCAGTTATCCAATGACCACCCACTTTCGGCGCAAAGGTTTCCCTGCACTATTACCTGACACCTTTACGACTGGCTAGTATTACTGGCAAAACCTCGAAGGATTGCACCATTTTATGACCTTATTTGCCGTCATTAGTGATAATACCCCAGCCCAAGCCGGATGATCGGACCCAAGTTGATTGGCTATTGAGCATTTTGTTAGTCACATTTGCCCGCTAAGGATTCACTTTTTGTCGGCTGAGATGGGCTAGACCCAAAGGTGGGCTGGCCGTCGCTGATCGGGGCAAACATGAATGCCAAATTCAGGCCTTGATCTGTCAGGATTACCCCTATATGACCTCCTTGACCCTCTTTGGCCGTTCGTAGAACGCGAAGAGCAGTTTTGATGTCGAAAAACCGCACATATACGAGGTCTGGCTAGGAGACACTTTGAGAGTATACTTTGCACATTTCCCCGTCCATTCGTCCTCCGAAAACCCTCGATTTAATCCCATAACCCTCTTTATTGCGTGAGCATGCGTCTTGCAGAATTTTATTTGAGAGCCAAGGTCTGAGGGTTCCTCTTAATTCATGGTACACTGGCAAACCTGATGTGCAAGTATATTATGTCAGGAAGGTCCTGTTTTAAGTCTATTGGTCAATAAAAAGACATTTTCTTCTAATTGATTTTAATTGTAGTAGTTTATGCGGTAGAATCCTACTTTGGGTCCCAGATCAGCATGCGAAAGCCCCATCCCTCCGTAATGCAGGACCGAGTGTAATAAAGAGTATCTAGTCTGGACAATACAGATAAAAGGTAAGATAAATAAAAAACTAAAGTTTATTAAAGTAGAAAAACAAGTGTAATTATTTAAATAATCTAATGTTTGTCAAAAAGCGGACCATAATTAAAATCTGCAATGATCCAAATATTGGGAGATAACTAAATTAAAAATAACTAATTAAAAGTGAAACCAACTAAAATACCAACCAACTAAAAAACGTAAACTAAAGTAAGCTAAATGCACTTAGCCAAAAAATAATGTAAAACTAAAATAAAAAGAGTAAACAAGACGATGAACTGAAAACTAGACCGGAAACTGAAGTTAAATATAAATAATTTGAATAAACCAAATTAAAGTAGTTGGGCATATTAATTGAAGGTGTGCGCGGCACATCGCGCCGCGAACTATTCTAACCTAATTCCAGAACGGTAAGTTGGACCTCATGCAAGTCGAAGTAGACGACCTCCTAACCACCAGATGATTTTTCAGGAATATCAAAAGAAACCAATAAAATAAAAAGTAAAAGTCCAAATTTGTCAAACCCAATAAAATATAGGTAAGTAAGAAAAGTAAGAAAATTTCTTTGTTGATTTATGGCGCGCTATTATGTTGCAACAACTTTAGATTATTTAAACAATTTCTGTGGCTCAAAGTAAGATTCCACCTTTTACGCCAGACAGATAACAATCACCTCTCCACTATCATGCGATCTAACTGCGTTTCCTTTTTGCTTGTGACCCGCAACGCATGTTTTCTAGCGCAGGGAGCACCCCTACTATCTATAATCCAGCATGTTTGCTAGCTTACTGACTCCGTTTTTTTCAGTTTATTTGGATTTCTGAACTCAGTTCGGTCTGCCAGTCGATGATTTTTAGTACCTTCAATAAGGGCCTTATCGGCAAATGAAAAATTTAGTTAATCCTCGGAAAGTTGAGTAATTTACTGGTGTGAACGTGCACTCTCTTTTTCCCCTAGCAATAGTATGCCGGGTATTTTCCCTAGCCGTCATTAGTAAAAAGCCAAATTTACTTGCTTCTTCATATTGAGTTTAGAATTTTGATATATTACTTCACTCAGAGCATTTCTTGTCTTATCGTCGAAATGCTGCTAGAAATGTGTGCATAACCAAAACGTTTGACGATTTGAACAAGCGACCTGATTTTTCCGTGACTCTGCCATCAATGGGAGTATCATATTAAGTAAATTTCAGGGTCATTTTTAACCATTTTATTTTTTATCAATTCCTTGCTACGATATGACACATTACATGGAACTTTATCAACGCGTGTTTTAATTGAATATTCTAAATCAAGCCTATCTGTGGTAATTTTCGCCTGCAAATGAAGGGTAATAGATTGTGTTTTCATACGTCGTGACTCACAAACCAAACCCGGAATACATTAGTGCGAGAAGGGCGTTTTTTGGACAAGTATTTAAGCCCTAACGTGATTTTTACCCACTAGACTGGCAGACTGGGCCATTCATCCCCTGTTGGTTTGCACCTTCAGGAAACTTGGCATATTTATTTCCTTGAGCGCGTATTTTTACTGTATTTTTGTTTACCGTTGGATGATTAAAAGAGTGCACTTTGAATGGTCAAAGCACGAACATTGAGAATTGCAGAAAGTAAATGTATTTAAGAATTGAGGCGAATAGTCGTATTCCCGGTTTATGTGTAAGTTAAGAAGGAGAAGGTCGTTCGTTCGTCGGAATCATATCTGAGTTTCCAAACTCTTACAGGAGTCCATTGTCAGAGCCAAAAGTGGCAACAAAATAAATAAAAGATATGGGGGTAGGAGCCGATCAAGCATCAGTAACGCCAGTCCGGCGGTGACTGCATAGCGCTCTGTATGCCGGCAATAATTAAATATATCGAATGACTGAGTATTAATCTGAAGCCTAAGCTTCATTCAATTCGCAGCTTCTCTCGCTTCTGACGTGGACGATTATATTAATGGCTGCGAAATTAAACTCGTAACGCGTTTCGAGGTATGCGCAGCCACTTACGATGATCCGTCATCCTGTCTCACAGCCAGCTTTTGTTCGTGTGTGTTCGATCCAAGCATGCGAAGTCTGTCCTGTGTATTTACAACGGTAGTTTCCGCATGAAATGCGATACACTGCATCCGCTTGCTGGCCAGGATTGAATCGGTCCTTTATTTTCGGGACCCTACTGAGGATGCAAGCTTTTGGGCCAGTGCGCATTTTCTAAACCTGGTACCGCAGCAATGCGCTCGGTCGCCTATAACACTTACTTGCTGTCTGACATCGCATGCCATACCATAAGTGCTGTCTCTGATACAGTCCTCTGGGGGCGTGCACGTAGACATCGGCATAAGAACATAAGAAGCCGTTCTGCCTGAATTGGTCGCGGAAATAATGGAATTCTCGTGGTTTTTTTTCCGGATTGTTGCGGAAAGTCTGGATTCGTTTGAACAGCGTTTTCACACACGTACGAATTGGGTCATGGTTTAACTTCGCCACTACGAAGCAAGAAAAGCCACAAATTGATTGAAGTCTAGGCTTCCAATGAGAACTCCGTCTATCGATTTATCGATCGGACGTTGGCATATAGAGTTCTGCGCAGTCACCTCCGAACTGGCTTTGCTGAGGTTTGATTGGCCACTACCCCTACGCCTGTTGCTTATTTTTTGCCGCCTTTATCTCTGACAATATACTTCTAAGGGAGTTCATAAACTTAAAAAAATAAAAACACGGCTCCGTCGAACGAACAGCTTTCTCTCTTTTTACATTTATTTTGCAGAATCACCATCGAGACTAAAACTGGCGTTCGGACTACTACCAAGAAACTATAAATAAAATCACAATGTTTGAATTATTTTCCATCTTAAACCAGCTGTGTGTCGATAAATTTACGTTACGTAAGCTCCTAGGATTAAAAATAAATAGTGTGGTTTGTTTTATTATTTCATAGTTATTGGAAGCAATTATCAGTGTGTTAACCAATACCTTCATCTCGCGACATGCGCAAAGCGGGTTATTGTGTTCTTAAAAGAAAAATCAAGTTCACTTTATTTATTTAGATTTGCCTTGTGTATATTTTTTAATGTCACTCTGAATTTCGTTGCTAGCGGTCTAGGGGAACAATTTTGGCGGCGCTGTACTCATTTATCATGTTTCCTTGCACACATCTCTCTGCTTGCCCAATATAAGGTCCTAAAGCCCCCATTACAACGATTCCCGTTTTACACAATCCTGGGGTTAGTGGTCGCTAAGTGAGCTAACGTAACCTACCGTTGACCTGTTGCATCACACTAGCCTGCTAAGATTTGCAGTTTGAATCGGGCATTTGGCCATCAGGCAGTATCGGTGCGCATTACACCTACTTAACGTTCATTACTTCTAATCACAGCGGACAGATCATTTGGCCACCGCCAAACTGGTGGATCGTCAAACTCAATCATCTAATGGATTGGAGTTCAATCTTCATGTCTTTCGGGTTTGAAGTTGCAGTATGGTCGGCAACGAAATCGAAAGGCTTTAGCCGTAAACATCTCAGTAGGCATGTTCGCCGTGGCAGTGACCTGCTTTTTTCGCCATGCGACCGCTCACGAGGTCTCTAGAGATCACGAAAGAATTGCGCCCTGTTCTATAATAACACTATCTCCATGAGCGCGATCTTAAAATGAACCTCTTCCGTAAATATACGAAAATGGATTATCGAGTAACTATTGCAACTAAATGGCGGGATCAATACTATCTAGGGGATGAATATTAAACACTAGGGGGAACTACAGTGACCATTCCTTAATTAACATTATTTTTCAAAATGTGAGGGTTTATAAAATACACGTATTCTGTTAGAAGTCTTTATCGGCCACTTTTATGTCGTCTTAATGCGACCATTTTTTTTGTTCATTAAGGTCATCTACCTTAACTGGTGGCCATTGGTGCGTGACTGTTCCTTCTACCTCCTGTCCATTATCCTGCTGGCCGCCGTTATCGCCGATGAAAAGGTCTACTGGTAAATTGATGATTTTTTGACCTGAGTGTTTCAATCGGCGGCGTACTCTTATAATCTTGATATCAGCGACAATTGTGAGACAGTATGTAACGGGCTTAAATCTTTTGGGTCCCTATATGAAGCGTCTTACTCTTTGAAGCCAGCTTCAGGTAGGAAAGATCTTAGAATCTCGTGAAAAAATATTGGACGGAAGTTAAATTTAGCTCCTCAGAATTGTCCAACTAATCTAATGTCTGCCCCCAGTGTTTGGCTTGCCGTAAAGAAAACGATAAATATAACCAATTTACTTGCAATCTAGTTTATCTTTCGGTTTAGTTTCAGTTTTTTAGTTTATTATTTAGTTTTATTAGTTTTATTTTAAGTTTTGACTTCTTTTTAGTTTGATTAGTTTGATTTATTTTAGTTTTTATTTTTGAGTTAGTTTAGATAGGTTTTATTTCAGTTCTATAATCATCAACCACATGCGGTTGCTTTCCGAGTTAAAATCTTTACCAGGTTACTTTACTTCAGTTTTGTTACTTTGGTTTATTTAACATATTGATATTTTAGTTCAGTTTTTAATTCATTATCATACATTATTAGTTTTATTTTAGTTTAAGATGAGTTTAATTAGTTCAGCTAACTTTAGTTTACCTTTCTTTAGTTAGTTAATTTAAGTTTCAGTTTATTTTGCAGTTTAGTTTTAGATTTATTAGTGACATGTGGTTTTCATTTTATCTTTTACTCCACTTTACTTTAATCTCGAAACTTAGTAGTTCCTTGCGTTGTTCCGCAAATTTGAGCAGTTCCCTATATTTGCGCAGTTGCATGTTTTATTAATGAGGCGCTTTTGTGTTGCCAAACATTAGCTTTTTAAATATTTATTCCTATTTTTATACGTTGTACCTTTCTATTTACATTTTATTTCCTCTGTAATGTCAAAATTGTGCAATCTTTATTACCACTAGTCCCGTACTACACAAGGATGGGGCTTTAGCGTGCTGCTTGTGGACCTAAATTTAATTTTCACCAAATATTGGCTTTAAATCTGCTCTGCAACCAGCTGGTGTGTCAGTCATTTACATTATGCCAGTTGGAGTATTTTTGAGAACACATATTACTTGATAGTGGATTGGACATTGGATGTGCCTTCTTAAGACCCGAATTCTGACAATTTTCTTCAGAAGCTCATTACGGCTGACGAATGTTCTTCTGTCTAACTGACAACAGCCACACCTTCCGAGCGTCCATTGACAAGTGTCAGCCTGAAATATGGAAGGAGGTATCTGGTACGAGGGAACAGGCTGCCACTTCTGTGGTAAATGTAACAGAACTTACCGTCCTATTGTTCAAGGCTTATGCGGCTGCCGTATGCATAAGATGTGGGGCGTTTTTGTGAGAGAGTTGAGGATGCGAATTAAATTACCCACGAATGAAGCTCTTATAAACTATGGCGCTTAAAATAAATGTGCACCTTACAGGGAAATCCAAGTGACAGTTTCGACTTCATGGTATTAAGGACCATCGACAATCCCCCTTGGCGACTATCTTTTTCTCTCTGCCCTATTAGTTAGTGTGCTTGCTCGAACCGTTGTCTGCTTTAAATCCATCTGTACGCTGGCTTCTAAATGACTTCTGGAAATTGTTGTTTTATACTCTCCTAAAACATTACAGTTAAACTTCTTTGAAATTTGACTGTAAGTAGTTTTCAAAGGTTTCAAAAATCATGACTGTCCTTAGACTACTAAGGGATAAATGACCTTGCACAGTTGTTTACGCAGACGTGGTGTTTACCACTCTAGGTGTAGGCGACTTCCAGGTGGCAGCACACCGTGTGAACTGCATTTTGTCTGCCTGCACGCCAATACGCGGCTTTTTATCCGGCAAGAAGGGAGAAAAATCTCATCAGTTTTGATTTCATCGCGCACCTTACCTGCTTATCGTGATTGTCCTACCCGATATTTCATTTTTCTCACCCGCCCTACTGTTTCTACTCAACCTTACAGTTCAGTCAGTCTTCCTCCTCATCTTTCGCTCCGGTAAAAGCTAAAAGGTAAATGAGCAGACCGACCTCGGCTCAGGCGATTGCTGCCGCTACTGCCACGCCGGTTCAGTTTGCCATTGGTGTCGTGACTAACGCCTCCCCCTCCTCCTCTCCTCCCCAGCTGGGCGTGCCATCCATTAAGGTGGGTGGATTGTCATCATACTTTAGAGAGAGAGAGAGGACAGTGGGAGAGGTGGTTAGACTAGAAGGCGGGTTTGCTACTGGTCTGTCGGTGATTTTGCGTGACTGCTGCTGCTACTGCTACTGCTGCTGCTGCTGCTAATGTTTTGATCGATAATTTCACCGGCTGTCTAGAAAAAAGCCTCTAATGGTTAGGAAGCTTACATGTAGACGGATCCCTCTAAACCACGGTTATCTGTCCTTTGTTGACTTTTGTTCCTGGAACTTTAAGGCACTTGTGAACGCCCTCAAACACGGAATTTAGGTTAGACCGCCAATGGAGCGACCACTATTAAGTCAACTGTTTTTAGCTGGCTGTATAGTGTCGTCAAAGCAATTTACGCGTCCATTTTCCGTCTCAGAAGTCCGCACCCGTGTTTTGAAGGATTCTTCATCTGGAGCCGTGCTCCTGCACTTTTTAAACCCGACTTAGGTTTGTGTTCCGACGCAGGAAACAGACAATAATGCCTTAATCTGCTTGAGACAAGTTTGAGATTAAGGCAATGGAGTGAGACTATTAATATCCACTGACTCGTCACTCCTCGAGGCGAACACTGTTTTGGATAAATAATGCTTATTTAAATTGTTTCAAACTTGCAAAAATGCCCATCAGAGAATTCAGAATAGCAGTGGGCGAGCATACGGAAACTTTCAATAAATTATAATCACGCTATTATATTTTCATGGGAAAGGGGTTAAAGGGAAACATGCGGTCAAGGATGTTCGTCATTTCAGGTGAATGAGCCGTGACCAAGGTCCTGTTGGAATTTATAACTTAACACTTTTTAGGTAGTCATTAACCATCTTCGAAGATTTTTGGTTTTAAAGTTCACAATAAACGCGCTACGTGTAGATACTTCCACTTTTGCGCATGCTAGTGCATAAGTTAAATCCAATACCTTTCACTTAGCATCACGCTTTCTGCATTCTGCCGGTAGACGTGGATAATGCCAGCTAACTTTGCCCACCGGCGTTTGCTGGTAGTTTCGGTCGAGATTCTGGTATTAAATGGCCCGAACACTCATCAAGAACCCGTTCAGTGTACGGATAAATTTGACAGTTTCTGTTGCCTATACCTAAGGCATGAGGTGCTAATTCATGGAGTGTCAATCGAAATTTTGAAGAAGGTTTTCTTCTTACATAGCTTTCTGATTGTAATAATAATCATAGTGGAGCATAATTCACGTAAACAGTAAATTGTCTACCTCATGAAATGTCAGCCGAAATTCTCAAATGTGTTTTCGATTCAAACATATTAATCAAGCATAAAAAGTCGTATTGGCAAACAATTGTTTTCAGTCATTTTCTTCAGGCCAGTACGATGACATGGAGAATAAAACCCATCAGTTATGTGCAGTGGTTATATGGTCCTCAGAGTAGGGTGGGGGCGGGTGGGGGATAATTATACATCCATAGGAAAATTTTGTGAGAACTTTATGACTTCTACCTCACACTGTAGGGAAATATTTAATTATCCTAAGCCAGAATGTATACAGCATGTATTTTGGAGACTTTGAATTTAAGTGTATCAGCGGGCAGGGTTAAAATTACTCGGCAATTAAGAAACTTTTTAAATAGGAAGATGCACTTTCTTCAAGTATAAAATTTGAAGGTGTAATTTACTACCAAACAAGTACGAGATATAATATTTTTGTGTATTTTTTCTATCAGATATATTTGCATTTAGTAGAGCAGTGAAAATGAAAGGGAAAAGGCATACATAAACTTTTTATTGGTGATCAAGAAGAAGCTTGTTCAAATGCCGGAATTCTGCGTTAACACAAATATATGTAGGTTAAGTCGCATATTAATCAATATTACAGCCGTATTTAATTAGTATGTTCGAATCGAAAGCACATTCCAGAATTTCGGCTGACATTTCACGAGATAACCAATTTATTGTCAGTTCAGAATCCTGGCTTTTAAACAAGACTACCTGGCTGCTTGTAGAAATTGCACTGCAAAAATGAGTACTTAGGCAGTATGCACCTTCCTAATTTAATTAAGATGCCTTTATAATTGCAGTTATATTTTATAGAAAACATACACATAAGTAATCTTTCGTGAACTCACTTCTTGGCGGATTACGTTGATTCCAAGCTTTACAATTTTAAGTAGCTTACGAAAGCCTTTGTCAGTTGTTATATCAATCCCGTTTAAAGAAAATCACACAGTCCTCTCCGCTGTCAAGAGAACGTTACAGTGTGTTCATAAAAGTTTACAATAAATGTGAACAATAATGGATACTTTCTGAGCAGCAATAATAAACAGACAGAGGCGATGTTCTATGAATAGACACTACATGGCCCTCAAAACTATTGTTATAGAATTATTTTTTTAAGCCAAAGCCATCCTGTTTTCAATTAAAAATTCCCAGAGGAAGTGATTTGCAGTGAAATTATTGCAATAAAGAATACTTTCGTACACGCCTTCTATAAAATACTTTTCCATTACAAAAGGCGTCGAAGCTCCTTCAAAAAGCATACTACTCAAGTAGGCATATTTATAGAGTAGTGTCTATGGGCAGATAGCAGCAAACTCCTTCAAAAGCTGACATCCTGACATAAATGATATATATTTGGATTATGCTGCTCGATATTTTCTTTACCAATCCTGCCTAGGTAATCTTCTCAAAACAAAACACAATTCACAATTTCTGATTAACTTTGCAGGCGTGTTTGCCTTTCTGCATTTTGATGGCTTCATCTGCCATGGAAATGAACTCGCTGCACCTTCTAATATACTGCCCGCGTTCATTTTTATTCTCTGCGCGCCTTCTTCGTGTTTATTCACTTGTGAGA